AACCATCGCCACAGGAGATGGGCCATCGCACGTGGGGAAAACCCCACAACCGAAGGAGAAGGGAAATGGTCGAAATGGTCGAAGATTGGTTTGGTCAGGTTGAAGGAGATGAAAACCTGCATTGAAACCTACATTCTTTTTATAAGAATGCATGATTTTCGACTCCATGCCACTGCATCTGCAGTCTAGTTCACACAAACATCGTCTGGTTTCACAAAGTCTTGTGGATCAAATCGCTACGATCCCGCTCTCTCGAACGGAATCTTCATGGACCAAGGCACCACCTTTGCCGGTGACCGGCCATGCTCCGGAGACTTCGAAATGTCAAAGGACAAGCAGTTCTTGCTCTCCAGTTCGGCCTGCAAACATGTACTGCGCGACGTGGGCGCGTGCGGAGCATGCGAGCATTGACGGATGGACCATGTGTGTCCTTTCTGAAAGTCCTAGTGGTCGGGTCGAGTCATCCATGGCGAGTCATGGCAAGTCATCCAATGGCATCCAATTCTGCCGACATTCATTCTATCATGCCTCCCACGGAGTGCGACGTGCACATCTGCAGTTAGAAACAAGGGAGCCAAAATCAAGCAAAACCCCCTAGGACCTGCCATGAACCCCTCGAAGAGCCACTTTCCTGCCTCCTCGTCCACCACTGCAGGGACTGCCAAAACGCGTTCCGAGGCCTACCAGGCACAAAACTGGATTCAACCGTCGAATTGAAGTCACGGACCGTTCAGTAGTGTGGTCAACAATTGGCTACAAAACGTGCACGGACCGTTCACCTAAAGACTCGCAACTTAAGACTCACATAAAGTCTACAGCCCGAGATTTGAACTTCCAGAAGTCCTGAAAGAAGGTACACCTTCGTTCTATCGAATCTATCCTATCACCAGTAATTAACAGTGGATGATGATGATTTGTAAAGGCCTGTTTCTTTATTATATACAGTATTGATATTTGTTTATGGACAGACCCAAGGTACACCCTTAACATCCCTTAACCTTCTTCTCGCCAACCCGGACTTTGAAGGGGCCATGTTACACGTTCCTGCACTTCCATGCTGCATGCTTGTCATTTCCTCGGCCACAGCCACCCCTCTACGAAGCAAGGACGCCCTTCCAAGCATCCCATATCCATGTCAACATCATGGTCTCTTTCATCTGTTTGTGGCTTTGTGGACGTCTGTACATCCCCCCAGCCAGATCAACACTGAGAAACCATCTTGAGGGACAGCTTTGTTTGCCTGAAAGCACCAATGTGTTCAGGTCCATCCATGCGATTTCATTCACAGAATTGCTCTTTGTTCGGGACCTGATGGTACCTGTTAAGTGTTCCAACCCACGTACGCCTCGCCCATCCACGTGATCTCATGCTTCTGTCTACCTTCACCCAGTCTACGCCACTGGGCCTCCGGTGTCCGCGTCCAATCTTGTTCGAATTCATCGAGGATCGGCCAATTTGGTTGCTCTGTCTGGGATGGTGCCTCAGTAGCAGTAGCAGTAGCAGCAGCAGCAGCAGGAGCAGTAGCAGTAGTAGTAGTAGTAGTATCAGCACTTAGTAGACGTAGTGTATAGTAGTGGCGCGTTCTGGTTGCGTCTTAGGGATTGAAACCGGATCATTGAACACCAGGATCACTGCGACATATCAATGTAGAACGTTGCGGACCGTTCGTTAAGCAAGGGGGTCTATCATCATTAAGCAGGCCATCCAGTCATCCACCGGTTTGGTGTTGTCCTAGCGCAAGACAGTGTCTTGCAGCAAGATAGAGGCTTTGAACGCCCTATCATCCACCTTGTGGGCGTTGTCACAGCAGACTTTGCAAGCAGGATAAACTGGTGTCTTGTTTTTGGCTCCTGGCACCATGCAGTGTAGCATGTCCTTTCTATTTTTTTTGACCCCAATCTTTTGTTTTTGATCCCTATCACTGTTGGTCTTTTCATTGATCATGCTTGTGTCCTTTTTGATGCCTGCCCCTCAACGGCGGGTTTGGACATTGGTGTACACGAGTGTTGTGACAGTGCAGTATAGTCACCCGAGCGACACCAGTGAGGTGAGCAGCACACCGAGGCACAACCAATGTGGGCTTCCGGGGCAGCTTGGTGGCCGCCAGATCCACCACCTGCGGACCAAAAAGCGTCCCTAAACGGATGAAGGAGATTACAAAAATAAATCAAACAGCCTAGATCATCTATTTGGGGTGTCTTGGCTGGTAGTCCAATCGGTGAGCCACCTTGCCACACGAACAATATTTGAGACTTGGTCCATTGGTGTCTCTGCAAATCAACATCAACTGCAAATCTGACTGGCTGATCTACACGCAAAAAGCGTAGGAGCGAACGGTGCAAATATGCCTTTTCGAAGAATTTTGTGGTGCACACGGTGCTAGAACAGGTGTGGTGCGAATCAATTTTCATTGTGCACCTGACCCTCCTGCAGCATTCCCATGGTATTTGCTGATGTTTTGGCTCACTACACAGCTGCCGCCAGCGCCACGGCCGCCAGCGCCTGTTGAGATGATTCAACCGTCTCCGACTTGGGCACATCGCCTTCGCCAGAGAAGGACCTTTGTATCATCTCCAGAATCCTGCGCGCATGGCCCGTGTATGTCCCATGTGGTTTACCAGGTCCAACGAACACAAATGATTGATGATTGATCCGCCTTGACGCGGTCAAGCACTGCGAAAGACTGCAGTGAACCACCCCTGGAAACGGACGCTCCTTCCAAAGGCTTCCTGAATGCAACGGTCAAGGGCCACACGATGAGCATCCGCCATCCTGGGCGGGCGGCAACACTGCGTAAGGTCCACCGATGGTGCGGGTATGGAAGTTGACTAAGTTTTGTGACTTACTTCTTGTCAGGATAAACTAATACGTACTCTACCATACATAATTGCACGTAAGACTAGCTTGAACTTATACAATCATACGAGGGCAATGTCCGGCAAAACCTATGAGCAACAGTTTCAACAACTGAGTGATTACATAGTATGTTTAGATATATTTAGTAAAGGACTGTGATGGACTGTGTCTTGTGTGGTGAAGTGTGGTGATCTGTCGGGTACCGTAAAACTGGGTGACATGATGATGTCCGATGCCCTGCGGTTTGAACATTTATGCTCGCCATTGCTGTGAAGATCTGTGAAGTGTAGCTCGGTGAATTGCAATGTTGTGGTGTGTTCAATAGCAAAGTGCAGTGTGGTGGCTTGCGATGCTGTGATACGGCTTCTGATGCTCTCTTTTAGTTGCCGAAACTCTTCCGTACGAATATGTGCTTCTCGATGTTTCTCTAGAACTCTCCACTTGTCAATTAATAAAGGCTGACCTTGTTCCATTTGTTTGTTTAGTGGGGAACCCATTCCCAAAAGAGGTTAAAGATAGTCAAAGGTTATCCACTGACTGGGATTGGGATGGATTGGGTACGTTTGCCTAGCACCCTCCACCTTTCGAAAACGGGCTTCCCTAACGTGTTCCGCCACCGTTTTCCCAACGTGTTCCCGAGTCCTCGGAATGTCCGTCCCCCAACGAAAGGGTCCGATGCAAAGAACACGAACGAACGTGACTCCGAAAGGTCGACATCGACGCCGCCGGCGTCCGCGGCGCTTCTGAATCTGCTGCTTCTCCAGATCCAACGCGTCCAAGAGATCTTCCATCACGAAGGCACCTTCGGGCGCCAGAAACCGGGGGCCGCTGTGATAGGGACATGGACCTTGATCAATGCATTTCAATGCTAACATCCTTGAAGACCGCATCAACAACAGGCCATGCTTCCCTTTTCCGCACGTCCCAGTCCTCCCGTTGTTCAATTGCCACAGCCAGTGTGGCACGATATGGCTTCGACAGGATGGACCCAAGGGCAACTGGCTGTCTAGTTGTAAGTCCAGACCACCATGCTCCAGCTTGTGTCAGCTCCAAAAACACAGTGGGAAAGGTTCGGAACAATCTCCTACCTAGAAGCGATGGCCTCTAACCTAGAAGTGGTGGCCTCCAACCTTCAAGATACAAGCGGGGCTGAATTCTTGAGGCCCCCACCCATGGTTACAATGCTTAGTGAAGCTATGCCCTAGCCCTAAAGGCTACAGCGCATTGCCAAAATAAGAAGATGAATGAACAAAACGTTTACCACTCCTGGCTCGGTTAACCCAACGACTGAGCCAAATGCAGCGTCAAAAGATTGGTTGATTGACCAAGTCACAGAACTTGCAAAAAAATAAAACTCTTTTCGATCAAGAGCCGTGAATGATAGATCAATACGTGATTGATGGATATTCTGATCTGCCCCATCTTGGTGGAGTCCCACCATCTGGCACCCCGCCATGTCTCAACCAAAAGAAACCAAAACTTGATGGAGTCCCTTTTTTTCTGTCTCGACCACTAGGGCCACTACGGCAAACGGCGCCAACGATGTGCTCTACACATAGTAAGACCCATATCTCGATCATTCATCTTCCCCTTCTTTAGGAAGAAAAAATAGCGCCAACGCAAGCAATGAGAAGATCACAAGAATACACCACCTGTCAATAATGAACAGATGTCCCCCCACAAATCGGCAATTTTGTTGCAAGTTGACCAGAAAAAACATGTTGGCCAGCTACAATGACAATAAAACCTCTAGAAATCCAAATAACATATATCATATATTAGCAATTAAACATATGTTCCCCGCAGCCAGTCAACTCAACACAACGAAAGGTTTCAATCAACGGTAAACAAAGGGACAGAAAAAAGGAACATCTTGGAGCTATGCTTTTCTTGACTCATGATGCACGTCACCATGCCACCCTTCCCCAAATCGATTGAAGATTTAGCCGAAGTAGCCGTTGGACGTTTCAGGAAATACAGGGTTCAAGTGGGTCCTGCACTGTCTTTTAACACCAAGGTCCGCACTTTCTTGCACTGTCTGCGCAGCAAATCTGAGTCAGGATTCAGGAACGTCCAGCCCCAATCCAACGCATGTCAGAACACACCATCCAACAGACCGGAAAGGGTCTGCACATGGTTAGTGGGACTGCGGAAAAAAATTGACCAGCCGGGCAACATGCTGCAGACCTTCCTTTCAGCGCCCTCTGTCTGATTGAACGGGGCAGCGGCATAACCAAACAGTAGGCCTGGAAAGGGTCTTTTTGTTGCAATTTTCCACGGCTGACTTTGACTAGTGACTAGTCAGGGGAAAACACAAGGTTCAATGGAACACCAACTGAACCCAACTCTCAGTGAAATATATATAATTTGATATTTTCCTGTACTTGTGCAAAGCCAGTAAGAAACGCCAACAGCATAACAAGTGGCGCCAAATATGGTCTGGAAACCTTCCACGCGAAAGGGCGGGCCCTAGCATCATTTGGACATGATGCTTTTGCATGCAAGGTGGAACGGCCTTCCAAAGCCTTTTCATGCCTTTGTCTGTGGCTGATAGGAGCTCATCCCAACCTGAAGTCACTTTGCGGTGAGGCACCGGCACTGAATGTAGTTGATCGTGTTTGAAAGCAAGGAGGCCGATAGCCGCCGAAAACAAACTTTGTTGCATATGAAAGGGTGTTGGTGACTCAACAGGCACAAAACAGCCCTGGCCAACTTCAAGAAGTTTGGACAGTCATTGTTTGGGATTTGCAAAATATCGGCAGCAAGGCTGGCACTGAAGAGAAACAGCTGTCGTAGCAAGCAAAGTGCCATTGCAAGAAGTAGTGCAGATTTCGCATTGTTGGCCGGTGCAATGGAGTGTGGCCGAAGTTTAATAAAGACCATTTTCGTGGCGCTGGAGAGGGTTTGGGGGAAGGGCGTATGCTTGAATGTTTCTGTGTTCGGCTGCTTGCAACACATCTCTTTAGCCAGAGCCAGACTAAAGGAACTCTTTGCTCACCAAGTTACTGCCCAAGAGGTTGACTGCTTGGTCAAAACATGGCCTCTGGTCATTATCAATAGTACCACACCGCAAGAGGCGATCGCCTATCTAGCTAAACGGTTGCACCGTGAATCTTCTCCCACTTTAATTAACTTTGCGGGAGAGGTTCACACTGCCAGTCGTTATGTCATGAACCATCCTCCGGAGTGGTGTCCTGTAACGCATGCATCCCCAGGCAGGGATGCCCCGTTCCGCTTCTTTGAGATTTTAGAACAACACATTGCATGGATGGCATATGCTTTCCTACAGGAAAGGGTTGGCTTCCAGTCTGTTGTCTGGTTGCATGATGGCTTCTGGGTCTCTCCCCGGCCAAGCGACAGAATTCTACTAGAACTGCACCAATATCTGTGTCGGGCTTTGAACTTTGACCCAGCAGAACCGCCACTAATGAGATGTGACTCATTGGTGGCAAAACAAAGCGACTTGCTTACGCAGCTCAATGCCCCAGCCCACACTGTTGGACCGCTTGCGGGCACTGTCACGGCGCTGCCTCTCCCACCTTTGGTCACTCTCCACAAAAGGCGCACGTACACAGCAGCCCCTGCTGAGCAACAGGAAGCATTAGAGCAACAGATAACGCATGCAATAGCAGGCTAATGGCCCAACATTGCAAGCCTGGCTCCATAAGGTGCCGTTGTGGTGTGGAATGATCCCTTTGCTGTGAGTGGAATTGTTTGTATTAAATTGTAGGGGGTTTCTTTGCAGTTCCCGCTGTTATGGCTCAAGTAAAGCTGGCAGTGCCAAGTTTTAGGGCCACTACCTTTGGTCGCCTCTTCCGTGCTGCAGTGTAAGCGATTGGGACTTGGACCTTAGTCCTGGTCCCGTAATCTCGCAGCAGTGATGTCAAATAACAGGCAAAGTCCAGTTGCCATTGGGCCTCAAGGACTTGATCTCACCCCATATGCGACTCCTGTCTGTAGACGAAATGACTGTGAGGTAAAGTATGTCCAGCTCATGGTTTCGATTGAACAAACTACACTGCCGCTCCGGTTGGCAGCTGCGGTTTTTCTGCGACCACCGATTGATGAAGGGGCCAGGCCTCACTTTCTCGAGTTGGCGTTGGAAGCTATTCCCTCTGCCATGAAGAATTCCTACCTGTTACTGGCCAACGGGCAAGTGTTGTATCCCTTCCAAGATGCTCCGCACCTCACTGATGATGGACTTGTAGTGCATGGAAGCAATCCTCTGCAACAAGCAATTGCGCATAGTATCGTCAGCCGTTTTGGGGTTGTTCTGCCCGCAAGCTGTGTACTCCCTACGAGGCAAGCCCGACCACCGGAACCAGGAGGAGGTCCCGCAACTTTTCCGTTCATGCAAATATGCAGGCTACCAGCCATACAAATTGGCACAGCGAATGCAACACCGATCCTGCCTCCGTGGTTCTCCCCTCAGCCAATTCAGGCCTCTTCCTCGCAGCGGAAACCGGCACGTAATACGGATGACTTTCCCTACGCCACCGATATAGGGGTATACGCACTGCAAGCCCTGACAACGCAAGACGTCTCTAATGGAACCGACACACCACACCAGAGGCTGGTGCGAGAGGTCGTAGTGCGTGCTAGGGAAGTACGTGCATCTGCCTATTTCATTCAAACCGCTAGTCAACGCTTACCAGGCGCAGGGCACCACTACTCCATCCAACCGGTGGAGGACGGCTGTTGGGAGATAGTCAATGAAATGGACGCCATCCTCACTGCGTTATCTGGCCTACATAGTGAGGCCACGCAACCCTCCTCTGGGTAGATTGCCTATGGCCCCCGAGGAACGGCAGGGAGGGATCTCCCCTAGCGATCGGGTGTCAAAAACTGCATGACTACTCTGAGTGTTTGGTTACTGCAGTCGTGAAGTGTTCTGTCTGCGCCTCAATCTCTTCTAAGATGGCTAGGAACTACAGAGACAGAAATTTGCCGGAAGTGCCAGACGCACGGCTGTCTAGTATTCTCACACCTGCATGCATATTGTCTGCTGCTCGGGCTCGAAGAATTGTCACGGTACTAGTTGACAGCAGCTCCCCTAGGCCATTCGCTTGCCTCTATGGCTTTGCCTTTCATAGTCGGGCCGCATCAGTGCTCTCTCACTCATGGTCCGGATGGCTACCCACAAGTGGAAATTACTTTTCGCCTCAAGCTTCCCGTTGCAGAGTTCATTGATGCGTTGCTGCTTACACTGGCGGAACAACGCCCCCTCTTTCAAGATGCCGAGAGTACTATCAGTGGCGTGGCATCATCGCCGACTGCCCAGCTGCCTTCCTCCAGCCGGCCAAAAGAAGAAGGCAAAGGAGCCAAATCGAGAGGAAAAGCCTCCGGGGCCCTTCGCGCAAACAACCCTGCGGCCCTCCTGCCAAACACAGGTCAAGCCTGCGCCGGCATTCCGGGCCGGTGGGCCAAAGAAACTTTGGATGTGGACCGCAAGCATATGCAACTTCTGGCAACGCTCGCAGAGCCAACCGCGTTAGCCACGCACCCTACTCTGGCACACAGCCCTTCTCCAGTGAAGGCAGCTGCAAACCTCTCGAAACACGGCGCCCGCTCTACAACTTCGGCACCCCCCTGGCAGAACAGGCAAGTAGTGAGGTTGAAGGACGGCTACACCGCACCTTTTCGAGTGGTTCACGGGGCCAACCAGAAGACTGGCAAGGAGCGAAGCATCGACCTCCCCCGCGGCCGGGCGCGCACCCACAAAAGTGTCCTGTCCAATAAGTAATGCTAATAATGTCGTTGAGGTGCAGAGGATAGGTTGTTTCACAGTCCGAAAAACTCCGGGTAGCAACCTTACACGGTAGACTACCTACCTCCC